TTTTTTTAGATAAACCCAACAATGTACAGAAGTGTAAAAAAATTGTACGCATAATATGAGCAACATTAACATCAAATTAAAGGAATAAGAATAAGGACAATGTTAATAAAATATAAAATTGTAAGGTACGTTTAATACAATAAAAGTATGCTTCATAATAATGTATGTGCTATTACTATTAAAGCAAAGTACGCGGAGAAAAAATTAAAACTTGTCCTTTTAGACTTTCTAATTTAAAGCACGAACATGAAAACTTACACCATTTTATAAATATATAAAATAGATATGTACCTAGATAAATTTAAGATTACCCCGTAACTATACGAATTTATTCAAATGCATACTTTCATAAAATTTTCTATCACGGTGCGGAAAAGTAAAACAATAAATATTAGCGTTTCAGTTTCTTATGACTAGCTATTCATAATAATTATTGTATATCAGGTCCCGACTACATTACGCCATTAAATGATTGCGATGTTGCCACAGCTAAGAGGTGAAGTGAACCGCTGAACATAGCGTATATATCGGAGGCGCCGACTACCTTTGGCTAACGACAGAGTATACACGTATAACAAGCTGCGCCTCTGACGCCAGATACGGTGAACTAAAATGTATATCTAGAGATGATTTTGACTCGATTTTGCCTCTAGTTAAAAACTTGTCAAACGGTTTATACAGACGAGTTAGCAACTAAATGCACAAGAAACATGGGTGTACGTGTTCGCCTCCGATTTCGGAGGCGAACTCGTAAAATCGGAGGTAAACTCGAACTAAGGATGTAGCAATCGGAGGTGTATGGGTAGCAAATGCATATATATATATATATATTTATATATATATATATATATATATATATATATATATATATATATATATATATATATATATATATATATATATATAGACAGAGGCTGTAAGAACCATTCTGTCCATCCATTCGTCTTCTTTAATGGCTCTATCTCTAATTATGTGCCGTACATTTTCTTCCCAGGCAAGGTGATTTAAAGCTTTATTTGGCCATTTATCTTCATTCATTCGTTTCATGTTTTTTGTGTTTCTAATTTCTAACTCTGGATTTTCATCATCTCTTATTTTAAGATACTCTGTCTTTGACATATTCATATTGAGGCCCCATTTTTCATATTCTTTCTTTAGTTTTCTAAACGAAGTTGTTAGACATTTACCACTGCCTATGTCTATTCCCATTCCGGATACTTGTTTCCTCCATTGCTCTAGCGATGATTGAATATATATTTTCGGAGGTATATATAATAAGGTCGGATATAGACAACATCCTTGTTTAAGCCCTTTCTTATTGGAAGTGATTAAGATATAAAGTTTCCTTCTTTAACGACACTTCTTGCATTTTTGTATATATTTACGATAGCATCCACATACTCTCTACTGACACCTACTTTCGTCAATGTTTGAAACAGTTTTTTCAAAGGTACCGTATCGTATGCCTTCTCTAAATCTAGAAATAATAGGTGGGCAGATAGATCCTTGCCTTCCGTTTTTCGATTACCTGCTGCAGAACGAATATACCATTAGTGCACGATCTTCCTGCACGAAAACCATTTTGTTCTTTTATGTCTTCGTATTCTGATTATAATATTTTATTATTCGGCCGTACAACCTTCCCACTGAGCTGGTAACAGTTATTCCCCTATAATTGGATCATGTGCATTTATCCCCTTTCTTGAATATTGAGCTGATGTATCCAACATTCCAATCATCATGGATATTTTGTCCTTTTAAGCATTTGTTAACTAGTTCCAACCAACTAATTAAGTAGTAAAAACCAACATCTCGTGTAATATTTTTGGTCCATACTTTATCAATATTAATTACCGTCGTAATTTGTAAAGAAATTTCGTTGAATTTTCTTTTAAGCTTTCTAGAGGGGATGTTAGTTCTTGTCCCTTTTCTATATTCTGTATTTGAGTGTTCTTGTTTTTGCGATAGTTAACTATCACGTTGGCCATAAGTAAACGATGGTCGGATCCACATCCTGACCCACGGTATACCCTTACGTCAGTTGTTTTCAGCTGGGAAGTTTGAGGTTGGATTACATAGTCGATTATCGAGCGCAGATTCCTAGTAGGTTGTATCCATGTAAATTTGTGGATGTCTCTATGTTGAAAAAAGCCATTCATAATTTTGAGAGACATTGTTTCACAAAAACCTTTAAGATGCATTCCGTTGTCATTGTCATCATCATCATCTTTGGCCTTACAACCCTGGTTGGGTCTTGCCCTGTTCAAGAATTAGTCTCCATTCCCCCCTATCTTTCGCCCTGGCTTTCCAATTTCTGACCCTTAGATTCCTCAAGTCATTCCGTTGTCATTGTATTCCGATGTATTTCTTTCATCTTGTTCACCGAATGTACATACCAGTCTCAATCTAGTGACAGTGACAGTGAATCCGAAGTAGAACCAGAACTTCTTAAACCAGGACCATGGAAAGAGCATAACAAACACCCCGGTAAGAAGAGGCTGAGGTCAGACAAAAAAAGGAACACTGCATCGAGCAAAGCGTAAAGAAGAGTTTAACCATAACTGTAGATACGGTTGTAATACAAATATCCCTAATGACAAATGCCAATCTACTTTTGATAGTTATTGGGGCTTGGAAGCTGGGACCTTCAAACTGTTTTTTATGTTCTTGCATTAGCCTTCAAGATCCTGCAAGAAAAAAACCTAATTTAGATATGTAAAGAGAACAAGCTGTACTTACACATTAGAAGGGTATAGAGTATGTAAGGCTTTTTTTTATGAAAACCCTTGATGTCAGTAATAAACGAATTACTAATGTTATAATGAAAAAAATGACCAGCACAAACTCGATTTCTCACAAGGACCAAAGAGGTCGTAAAACTCCATCGAATAAAACAACAGATGAAACCATTTACTTAATGAAAGATCACTTAAAGTCGCTACCTAAGAACAGTAGCTATTACTCTAGGATTAGTTCTCCAAATGTGAAGTATTTGAGAGTGGAACTGACAATGAAAAAAATCTACAATTTGTATGTAGAACTGTGTATGGAGAAGAGTTACTATAGGTATATTTTCCATACTAATTTTAACCTTTCACTCAAGAGACCTCACACCGATACGTGTGACAAATGTGACACACTACAAATATTATTACTAATGATGGTGTTGATCCAGAAGGAGTTGCAACAGCAAAAATTGAAAAAGAATTATACTTGCGCAAGCCACACGCTGCAAAAAATGCAAAAGATGATGATGCATCGAATTTCAAAAATGACCCAACTACAGGAGTTGTATACTTTGATTTACAAAAGACGCTACAAAAAAGCATATTGTAGCCGTCAACTTTGGACTTATAATTTTTGTGTGCACAATGTTTACACTGGACAGGCACAGATGTTTTTGTGACATGAAGGCCAAGGTAATCATGATTGCAACGAAATTGCTTCCTGCCGTTGGAAATCATCCTGACGCTGCCACCAACCAACCGTTAAGCGCATAATTCTGTACAGTGACAACTGTGGTGACAAAAGACACAAATTGATACTATTGACCATACGTTTTTGGTAGTGGGACATTCATTCATGGAATATGACCAAGATTTCGGGATTATCGAAAAGGCGAAAAACAGAAACCATCAGTAGGTTTGTGTACCAAGTATGTGGGTCGATATCATAGTGAAATCTAATAGGAAGTTCATGGTGACGCAAATGGAGGATGATGACTTTGTGTCTTTAGATTCACTAGAACCTTACTTTAGGAAAAATGTAGCAGGTATCAGTAAAATTCAGCGTATGCATTTTGAGAAAGCATATCCATACACACTGTTTTACATAGAAAGCGTTAACCTTACTACCTTTTACCACCTGAACATGAAGTCTTCAAGAGCTGGTCGACCTCTCAACGAACTCCCGTTATTAGCAGCAACAGGAGACAAGCCAAAAATCAAGAAACTTAAATTTGACAACTTACAGTCATTTTTGCCATAAGTTCCCCCTATCTAACACGACTTCTTCAACACCTTACAATACGCTAATGGGTCTAACAGTGTTCCTGTCGAAGTTAACCAGAATGCTATTGTTCCCCCAGATGCTGAAGAGTTAGGAAACATAGTTATAACTGTTATACTAAGCAATGGTAGTATTAAACTGATTTAAACAATTTTGTAACTCATTTTGTTAACGATTTTGTGTTAAATTACATTATTTTCACCACAGTTGTATTTTTTACTCAATCCAAATTTTCATATACAAAACTAACCTAAAGGGTTCAGTCAATATCTGGTTCTTTTTTTTTGGAAGCCAAGGGGTACAAGTGATCACTCTTATCGCCTTATCAAGGATTGTAAAATAAAGGCAAAAAGACAAGATCTAAAACTTATTCTACAGCTTATGTAACGCTCCTAAGTTATTTTAAAAAGTGTTTCGTGTGTATAAAGCAATTACTTATAATTTTAAAAGAGAGTTAAACTTAAACCTTCTTTTCCTCATTATCAATATTTAGTCACTTGTACCCCTTGTGTTCTAGGCTCCTCATTTGTTCCTGAAGTCCCACCCATATAAATACAATCAAAAAGTAATTGTTCAACTATATTTTACTATTAAATCCACAATTCTTTTTTACTTCTATACAATACTAAACCGATTCTTTTTGTTAATGACTTTGGAACTGGTTAACTTTTTTACAATCTATTCTTTTCGGCGTAAAAAGCGGCAAAAACACCCATCTACTGACTGTCCGTACACATTGTAAGACATCTCTCCTTTTATGACTTTAAAAATTTTATTTAAATGAAGTGAACGTTCATTTTGTGTTTTAAAAAATGGCACATTTTAAGCCCTATGATAAAGACTATAGGTATGGATACTTTTCAATTATATTTATCTGCTTTTTGATGACTTAAAACTAAAATTTATATTATCAAACATGTGGCGATCGTTTAAAAAAATATCAAATACTAAGTTTCTTTTGTTCCATTAATATGGTTTTGTTTTGGATGCAGGGCGCAAAGAAGAATCCACGGAGAAGATGTTTTTTGGAAATAAATTAAGAGTTTCTCCGGCAATAAGAAACTTTTCAGGTAGGTGACTTTTTATGCATATTTCATTCGCTTAATTCTTTTTAGAATATGTCGTCTATATAGAGGTAACACTCATTAACTGCAAAATAAGTACAACAGAGATTGTTCGTTTTTTACTTTATAATTTTATTTATGATTACTCTTGATAGAAGTGATATTATTTATGGAGGTTGGGTATTACTTTACTATCCTGTTTTAAAAGAAATGATCAGAACTCAATAATTTTAAAGTTATTAAGCTAAATGTACTTAATAGATGAATTTTATCTCAAACTATCATATTCCTAATTGGTACTTAGGGATACAGTAACTAGATAGGAAGCGATGAAAAATGTTATTATTTCGTTAACTATTATATATATATATATATATATATATATATATATATATATATATATATATATACATATATATATACATATATATATATATATATATATATATATATATATATATATATATATATATATATATATATATATAAGGTTCTTGAACTCCTAAGTGGAGCATAGAGCTTCAGTGAAAACGCGCCATCGGGTTCTATTTTGCGCTAAGGCCTTCACCTCATTCCAAGACTTTCCTTGTTTTCTTATCTCGTCCATGATGGATCTTCTCCAAGTTTGTACTGGGCGACCTTTTTTTCGTTTTCCTTGGGGATTCCACTCTAGGGCAGTCTTTGCAATACTGGAGTTATTTTTTCGGAGTGTGTGACCGATCCAACCCCACTTTCTGGACTTTATTTCATTTACTACCCTCTTTTGTTTGGTCAGGTGTAGTAAATCTTCGTTTCTGAAGATGTTAGGCCAGAAAATACGAACAATTCTTCGTAGACATTTATTAACAAAGACCTGCAGTTTGTCTGTAAGGGTTTTTGTCGCTTTCCAGGTTTCACATCCGTAAAGTAGTACAGACATGACATTTGACTGGAATATGCGGATCTTTGTCCTCGTAGTGTAGTCTCCAGACCTCCAAACAGGGTTGAGCATGCTGAAAGCTTGTTGCGCTTTTCGTATCCTCATACGAATATCGTCTTCTGTACCTCCGCTTTCTGTTATGACACTTCCAAGATACGTAAAGTTTTCCACATTTTCAATCTGCATGTTATTAATGGTAAATAGCGTGTTGTTTCTTGCATTTATTCTCATGGATTTGGTTTTACCAATATTGATTTTCAAACCTATTTTATTGGCTTCAGTGGAAAGTGTTTCCAATTGGTCAGCCACATCTTGGAACCTTTGTCCTAACAGGCAGATATCTTCGGCGTTAACTATTATAAATTATAATAAATTCCTGTAAAATTTAACACAACAAAACGAAATATAACAAAAAAACTTTTAACTTTAAGGATGAATTGATGTTGAATCTTCTGATTCCTCATCAAATTTGGGTTCTGGCAGGTTATCATTTGTAGAGGTACTTGTTGGTAGAATTTTATAATAATGATAAACTTCATCCGGTATGAGATTTTCGTTGCAAAGTTTGACTAGATCTCATCTCATTTCAAAGTTGAAATTGGGAGTAAATCGTTATAGAGAGATTTTAACCGTATTTCTGAAATATTCCGAATACTCCTTCTTCCTGGACCACAAGAAATAATTAATTTTTTATACGGCGATGAATGGTCATAAATATCTAAAAAAAATGACATCGGCATGTTCTTTTGCAATTTTGAAGCATTTAATTTTTAGCCAGGATACTGGCCGTCTTCATCTTTCGTTCTATTTTTTATTATTGTTCCTGCCAAATTATTTAGATCATAGAAATCTGTATATTTAAGTCCTCGTACTGCATACGGCTCGTTCTGTAATCTTTTCTGCCGTGCCAAATTAAATATTTCCAGCCAATCGTTCACGATAAAAGCTGTTCGGTTTTTTTTTAGAATGCTCTATCGCCGAATACATAGAGTCGCACTCCATATGACTACGTCCGACTCCAAGAATTTCTGTTCTATACATTCCAAGTGCGTAGTATGCACTGCATAGATAAGTGCAGCAGCTACTTGCTGGTTTCTATTTTGACCTCCACAAGTGTCTGAAAGCAATGATATTTTCAGAACTGTGGAAGGTAAGTTTGTAATATACTTTAACAGAATATATCCAATTTCGTTGCTGCCACGCTTGCCATTAACTTCATTTCAGCAGTAGCAAGATGCGTGCTCACCGTCTCCAACATAAATGGTATACACACAATTTTCGAGAGTAGTCAAATGGAGATACTGGGGTGTGAGGCAGTTGCAGTACACTTTGAAGGTTGAATGTTGCTCTTTTAAATGTCTTGTCATTTTGAGATAACTTTTTGTCTGTATTTTTTGCTTCATGGAATTCATTCTTTCTTATTATGTGCATTGAATATACTAGTTCTAAATCTTGTTTTTTTGTTGCATCTGCCATGTTAAATTTACTGCATGCTGTACATTGATCCTTTTTAGGAAATAAAAAAAGAATAATTATTGTCATTGCCCAAAATTTGCCTGTATTTCCAATGGCTGACTGGCTTTTGATTTTCAGCTAGATTTTCGAGGAGATAGAAATTGTAGATTTTTTTAATTGATAATTTAGAGTCTAAATACAGTCTTTCACTGGTGGCCCTTGTATAATGCGATTGTACACCAGAGAATGACTCAATATGTTTTTTTACCAACTGGATGGACTCTTTATTAGTAACGTTTGCAGGGATTTTGCGACCTCTTTTATCTTCACTGAAAAACAAACCTGCTGAATTGGTTCCTTGTAAGACCGTGTTTATTGGGACCATTAGAAATGCAAAGAGTTCTCTCAAAAAACTTGGCACATACTCTGTGCCGTCCCAAGGGACTTTCAAGGAAGTACAATCTTGAAACCGTGTTGTTGTTAACATTATTTTTTAAACGTTTAACTGGTGTAACATTTTTTATTATAAATTTTTTTGCCTCTTAAAATCGTTGAAAGACCAGTTGAAAGACGTTCTTTTCATCTGGAAGCCTACAATTTGGAATCCTATTCCGTATTACGGTTTCTAAACTGTGAATACCTTGTTTGGAAAGTTATACATACAAGGAAAGGTATACAAGAATAATAATTGTCAAAATAAAGCCTGTGACTCATATTTCTAGGAATAATTCTAGCCAATCTCACCACAACATTTGCAGTTGCTCCGAGGTAAGGTTCAAAAGCAGGTCTCGTTTTTTGATCATCTCTTGTCTGTATATAATTATATACCACACGCATATCCAGAGCTATTGCATAACACAAAAAATTTAAATCCCCATTTATGTGGCTTGTTTGGTAGGTACTGCTTCATGTAGTGCCTAGCTTTGGTAGAACAAATTTCCTCATCGACGGACAGATATTGTTCCAATGGAATTCCGTTTAAAATGCTTCATTGAGGTAGTCAATTATTGGTCTAATTTTATAAACTCTATGGTAGTTTAGATTGTCACGGGATAAGGCATTCTGGTTATTATTGAAATGTAAAAATTGTCTGATTTCTTTGTACCTGTTGACATAGCACTTTTTATTTTCTCAAAGCCAGTTTCTTCTGACCCTTATGTCCTTGTATTGGGGCAAATGAACAAGGGGCATATATATTGTAATTCAAATAAACTGCTTTATGTCACTTCATGTAATATTCAGTGGTTTGTTAGGATTCTGCTGTATGGCATATAAATTTGACTCCTCCACAATTTTGTCTAAAAGACTATTTATGAATAATAAATTAAGATATTCATAGGGATTTTCTAGTTGTAGAATATGATTATTGAATATGATTATTGAGTATATGAATAGTTGCTGTTCGGATAAGTTCAATTTTTTTTTCTGCATATAATGTCTAAAAATAAAACACATCTAGTATTTTTGATCACAAATTTATTGTAAAATAAGTATACCTTTGCCCTTGTAGTAAACCAGAGTTTTTGAAGGTTCCTTCTCTACAGTGTTATTAATTATATTAGTGTCTACAGCATTCATATCCATTTCGTTCACTGGTTTAGAATTCTCATTATCAGACTCATCATCACCAACTTGTTCGTCAAGTAAGAAATCTGAATCGATAATATCATCATCATCATCAAACCCATCTTCGCTATCCCAAAGCCTATCTATTATATCGGCAAGTTCCTTGCCAGTCAGCGACCAACTCATGATGTTTGATCTAAAAGATAAAATTTACTAGATATGCATGATGTTATTTGTAAACAACAACAAAAAACATCATTATGAGAAAAATAAGCGCAGTACTGTATACCGCAAGAAATCATGCATTTTACTTACCTTATTAATAACACGTAATATATATTTACTCAAATTACTTTGGTAAAACTAACAAAAACAATCTGAAATACGTGTCAGTGTCTAATCGTGTACACTACCTAACTAAGAAGACATAATATTGTAACCAACACCATCTATTATTGTTTATTCTACTTACGCTGATCAAAACTGCGTTGTTAGTGAACAACGTCATGCACAAGCTGATTCATCTTTATCTGTTATTAAAATAAATGTTTATTTTTATTATGTTCATCATCATCACCATCAGCGAACCAGCTAATTTTTGTAACAGAAGGTCTAAAATACTTGTGATATTATTCCCATTCCCTGCAAAATTAAGGTTTTTTGGGCGTTTTTAGTAAATTTATAAATAATTTTCAAAAAATCGGCTTTTGAAGCTATTTTTGCAATAATTAAGCAACAATCTAACAAAAATAAATTTAGAAACTCTAATTTTAAAGGATTTTCTATGCTTTTTCAATAACATTGTGACACTTTTCCTACAATTTACCGGTCTTCACTTTTAGTATTTAAGATTAAATAGAGATCTCGTTGTTTATATAAATTTATCAAAAGCAGTTGTTAGATACGTGTATCAAGGAGTGACACGCTTCTTTTTGCTAATTTCTTTGGTCTATTATATTTAGGAAACGTTTATATCCTATGAATACTTTGTATGAACGTCTATTATTATAAGATTCTTTTTTCTCTTTTTCTTCTTCCTTATCTTACCCTTCTTTTATGTTCTTTCTCCGTTTCTTTCCTGTTCTTCCCATTACTTCAATGTTTATCTCCACCCTCCTCCCCTACACCTGCTTAGCTGTCACGTTTTGTCTTTTCCTTCTCCCTTTTAACGCTTATCTTCCCCCTTCCGTGTTTTTGCCCTTCCCTGTTCCTACTCCTTCGTCTTCCCTCTTTTTTGTCAACGATCAGGTAATACAGCTATTGGTATATACTTTTTTAGGTCACACGATCAAATATGCAGATCAATCTTTTCATTCTTATGATATGCCTCCTCCCCCACCGCCAGGCTTCACACCAGATTCTTACTTTAATGGGAACAGTAACAAAGATACAAGGAAGCCCCTTCAGGTAAGCTTATAGACTATACTATACAGAAAATTATTTTTTAATCGTAGGATCACTAAATTAGTTAATAATAATTAAATTTGAATATAGGTTAGGTTAGGTTATTAATATAAGTTACATGATGAAAACAAAGGCCGAGTCTGAAACTAACGAGTTGAGACCATTATCAAACAATGAGTTCTCCTCCAAAGTTCCTGATAAAACCTGTCAAGCGAAACCTGATCATGCCCTAACATACAAATTACAACAAGGCAACAACCAAATATGCTTAAAAGTGACAATTTTTTGTAGAATTCAAGCAACCAGCAAGTCCAGCAGCTGGTCGATGCTTGCGCCTTCAGACCCATCAGGGGCGCTTCGAGTGTATCACCAATGGATGTTTGCTACGACAGTTCGTGGTGGAACAGAAGGGGTCTAGAGCGCAAGTCGTCCCAAGATCAATTATTGAATGCTGTAAGCAATCTTCCTACCCGTAGTCACAAGAATAGCGGAAGTTCAGAATATACCAGCGATGAACAGAAAGTAAGTTATACAGAAAATATTTAGTAATAACAGTTTTATATGATAAACAAAAATTACTCATTTTTCAGACGGGATATTCCAGTGAGAGTGACGTTAAGAGTTTACAATCCAACCAACCAGTAGATTTAGTAATTTCTAATTTAGACCCAACTATAGAACCAAAGGAACTCAAAAGACTGCTTACAAATATGCTCAAAGAGTATGCTATGGTAAGAATTAACTGGTATTTTATATTCACTATAATTTTTCATGGAAGATTTTATATATGGGAATATAAAATTTAATCAAAGTTTAATCAAAATTACAATCTCTAAATCCTTACAGCGTTATTCGTTATTTAGGTCTAATTTATATTCTTTAATTGGTGGACCTTACATAATACCATGTATTCTTGCATAATAACGAACATGTTATTTTTGTTCCATTCAAAAACTTGATTTCTGGAGACCTTTTTGCAAAACAAACAATTAACAGCATTCCATATTACAAGTATTATTATTATTTTTATCTTCAGCTTCGGACAAACAATCATCATTCATCATGGATGCCATGATGAATGCCAAAGACAATGAAGCCGACGTTACCTGTTGTAACAAAGCATTTAGTCAACACCCACTGTAACGTTAAAAAACCCATTTAATTCAGAAAGCAGTAACTTTTATGTGACTCTGTATAAGGTTTTAAAACTACACATTACAAATCTCCGAAGAAAACATTTTAGTATTTATCTTTAAATTACTTTGAGTTAACGCTTCCTCTTGGAATCTCATAAGTTGCAATAAACACCTAAGGTTAGGTTGTTTTTAAAACGTCCTTTCTTGATTGGTCAAAGTGATCACACGATTCAAACGGCAGCGTAATTTCGGAAAGGGAGCGGGTAAAGTTTTCAACAAGCGTGGCTCATTCCATTCTGATACTTAAAGAGGATCAATACGTTCTGGTATTTGTGAAAGTCCATCAGAAATCCTGTAAATATGTAAATTCTTTAAAAGTCTTTGTGATGGACATCACATTAGGTATGGATATTCTTGATATTCAGATGGATAACCAGTTGTAAGACTGTGCCACCCCACATCTCTTCCGACTCTGAGCAACGCGCCTCGTTCATTTTGTGTGCCTCTAACACTTTCCATCGCAAAAGCAAACGCTATGGTAAACATTTTTTAAATATTTTTTTTTCAGATACTAAGCTTAAATATTACAGTACAAAACGATGGTATGCCCATAGCAAACATCAGGGTAAATGGGCAAAGAGAAGCCCAGTTTACAATCTCACAGTTGCATAGGCAAAAGTTAGGACACAAAAGAATTATCATATCCTACGCGCAGAGTTCGTCGCCGTATCCTGAAGAACTTAGATCTATGGTTATAGAACTATTACAGGTTAGTATTTGTATGATTTATATGAAAAACTAAGTAGATAAGTCAAAATAGTAAGTTGTTTTGTCGTGCAATAACAAAAAACACGTTCTTTTGGTTTGAAATGCATTTTTCCACGCATCAATTGTTTTTAGATTTGAGTACAGTTAAAATGAGCTAAATCTGGTGGATATGGTTGATACTGCCACATTTTAGTTCGCTAATTTGGGCGATGGTGTTTTAGAGCTGTGTGAAAGCGTGAATTTTTTTGATAAAAATCATTCTTCTGTAAATCACAATTTTCCTCAGGATTTTTGTACATTCAGTTTATGCAATTGATTTATTACATTTTCAGGAAGTACCTGATCAATGCATGCCCCTATTTAAATTCATAAATTTATTGGAATCACGTTATCACTGTACCGTATCAGTATCAGAAGTTAACAAACTAAAAGACATTTGTAAGATAACAGACTGTCTAGGATCTAGGATAATATCATTAAACCAAGAAGTTAAGACGTCTCCTCCTCCAAATTTATCCAGGGTAAGTTTCTTTGTCATAGTGGCAGCTTTAGCAGTTACATTAATTTTCATTTGCAGACATTTGTTCAGTACTGCACGATACATTGTCCAAATGGTGTTCAGAGCCGAGGTTGGTGTGAGTTAAGTGTAATTCAGACGCCAAATATTAAAATGTTACTAAAAGTATTCGCAAATAAGCTTCTAGTACTATTAAAATTACATTTGGGTGTGATGCATCTTCTCAGGTAAGCGCACATTATACAAGATAAATACATCTTCTGATATTACTAAGCATAGTAGGAATTTCATACAAGTTTGAATATATAGCAACACTGGCGTAGAAATGTAAAATATTACATCAATAGGCTAAAATTATTTATCTCAAATCAGCTTAGCCAGAGTATTTAAGAACTTACATCTTTTTTGCATTTTTTCAAAAATAAATGTCAAAGTTTTTCAAATTGTCGAAAATTTAGACTACTAGAGTGTAGACGCATGGGGATGCAACTCCTCTTTGTGGACCGCCCCGTGGTTGAGATGCAAAAAGTTATTTGTCTTATTTCCATCTCTGTAAGTGTGTGAAGTAGCTGTGCGATTTACTTTGTTGGTGTACTATCTACCCCTCCCTCATACAGTTCTCTTGTGATTGTTTCTTGTCGAGTTTTGTCACATGTCACTTCTATATCTAGAACGGAAGTTAGCACTACTTTTTTTGTTATCTGTTTCATTAATTAATTTCACCAAAATGGTTTCTGTCGATTTTAAATCTTGGTATACATGCGGACAGGAGTGCAAAGGCCTCTTTAAGGTTGATAAGCTTGAATTGAGCCTTTCTAGTTCCTGTAGCTGGTTTTCTAAATGTAGTTTTTTGTTTTGTTTTAGTATCTTTTTCTCTGCTTGTCTCATCTGTTTGTATTCCTCTTGATTTTGTCTTGTCCTTCTGTTTTGAAGTTTCACATACGCCTGATTCTGTTTTTGAGTTGTCTGTGCGTATTCCGCATCATACCATTATGTCCCCTTCCTTTCTTGTTTCTTCTTTCCTAAAACTGTTGTTGCTACTTCTTTCAGGATCATTTCGCACTCATTCCAGTAATTATCTATGTTTTCAACAGTACTACTCATTTGGCCTTCTTTAGGTTTGTGTTCAAATTTTCAAACTATCTCAGGGTTTCGTAGTCTGTCCACCTCGAATTTATCTTCTTTGCTTCCTTTATCTTTTTTTGGGTTAGAAATTCGTGCCCTTAGTTTAGCCTGGACCAGGTAGTGATCGGAGTCCCATATTTGCTCCATGTCTGGTACGTAAATTCATAACATCGCTGGAATATCTTGCGCCCACAACAACATGGTCAATTTGATTGATTGTGTTACCGTCTGGGCTAACCCAAGTCCCTTTGTGTATATTTTTACGCTCAAAGCATGTGCTGGTTATCCAGCATATATATTCATTAAGGCCGCAAGGTGTATTAAGCGTGTTCCATTGTTGTTCGACGTGTTATGGAGGCTATATTTTCCAATGGTGGGTAGGTAATCGTTTTCTTTTCCTATTTTGGCGTTGAAATGTCCAAGTACTATTTTTATATCATTTCTAGGACAGTTCCGTATTATTTGTTCCAGTTTTTCGTAAAATTCATCCTTTCCTTTGTCTAGCTTATCTTCTGTGGTTGCATGGGCATTAACTACTAAATATTAAAAAAAAATTTTCCTAATTCTTATTTTGCATATTCTGTCGCTTATGGCTTCGAAGTCTATTACTAGGTGCTTCACTTGCTGCTGACTATGATTCCTGTTCCAAGTTTATGCTCTGTTGGGTGGCAGCAGTAGTACATTGTATATTTCTTTGCCTCGAATATTTTTTCCCAACCACCTAACTTCTTGAAGCGCTGTGATGTTTATGACAGGACATTATCGATTAGAAAGATTGCTTCAGGTAACTTCTCTTCTAACCGTTTCTTTCTAGAATAGAATATACTTATTTTCCATCTTTATCTTTCATTCTTAGTCTCCCACATTCATCTATATTTCCATTTACAACAATTATTCATCATCATCATAGTGCTGCAGCCCTTTCAGTCTTGCAGCCCTTAAAGAACCTCGACCTTCTCAAACTCTCTTGGATTTTTCAGGTGGCAAGACCGATCTGCTCAATCTCCTGTGTTACCCCGTGTATCCAACTCAGCTTTGGTCTACTCCTTCTCATTCCCACCGGTTGGTTGCGCTGTTAGATATTCTGTAGTTCAACGTTATATCTACGCCTCCATGTTGCATTCTCACACACCATAACTACAATTAACCAACGCATATTCTCGTGTTCGTATCGCTACAAGCCGAACGGGTTAGATACCGATTAGGACACTACACTAGGTTCTTCCTAGCTGTCGACTACTATACCTCTTTGTGTTACAGCTTTCAGGCGTGCTACGAACAAGAGTTCCATGAGCCGTTGCCAGTATACGATGGAGGTGTGCCGTTGGAGCATCTCGTTACCTGTGTACCAAATATAGAAATAAAACTCGTAGGACCAAATAAAAATATTAAGATTATTAGATATCTTGACTCTACGACCGAAGAAACTGATGAAGGTAAGTAAACTACGAGGGTGGTGAGTTCAAATATCGCGGGCATGGAAATTTGACTATTAAATAGAAAGAAATTTTCATGTCCGTTGGATTGGTACTAGCCTGAAGCGACACCGTTAATTAGAAATAATAGCGACTCTTTGTAAAGACAGTGAAGTCACCGGCTGTAATCTTTTGACATAATTTTACACAATATTTTTTATAGATTCAGTGCTAAAATCTGTTCCACCTCCGCTTGCACCAAATATAAGTCTTTTGTGCCGAGAACTAATAGATCTTTTGAAAACCCAAGAACGATGTCAGTTACTCATGAGCAAATTCATTCCGGCATATCATCACCATTTCGGAAGACAGTGTAGAGTTGCTGATTATGGATACACCAAATTGTTAGATCTTTTTGAATCGATTCCACATGTTATACAGGTAAGAAGGTTATTTGTCATGACTTAAATTCGCCTGTTTTATAATAATAGAGGCTGAATTGACGATTGCGCTGATTCTAGTTAGCTTCACAGAGATTCACAGAAATAGTTTCGACCTTCACCAAAAGATACCCATTCACATAATTCAACAATTATATTAAACAGAACACGAGAAATGCCTGTTCCCTCTGAACGCTGGAATGGACAGTCGGAGTGTGATGTCACATCTGTCATATTGTTGTCATTACTTTCCAAACAAAAGTTGAAATGTCAAATCTCAAGACTTTTTAATTTCTATAAAGTTATCATTTTGCACTTTTTCTTTTAAGTATAGTATTTTTTACAATAATACCATCACAATTCAGTGTTATATTTCTATGAAATATAGTTTAAAAGTATACATTAAGGAAATTCTAACCTTACTTTATTGATGCATGCATTTTATTGCCATTTTTATAAAACAACTGCTATTATTTACACAACCTTGTAAAATTTTTGTACTAACTATTAGAATACTTAGATATTGCAAAAAGCGGAAAGATTCTGTAAAAAAATTTAAAAATATCGAAAAATTCAAATTATCCACACTAAACAAGTTTGTTTGGAAAGTGAAACTGACAGATGTCAATCAAATCTACGTCATCACTCCGATGGTCCATTGAACTCTGCGCTAATGTTGGATAGTCAGGGAGCCAGCGTAACAATACATTTCCAAATCCAGTATATTTATATTTTTAATTAGTCTTCTACAGTTTGTAATTTATTTTTAAACCATTTTCTAGATACTCGGCGATGGCACCAGACGCGCCATAACGCTTTCGCACTCTGCTCAAGTGCGCCGTTTCACCTCGGATCTCCTGCGCGTCCTCAAGGTCCAACCTGCCAAACAAATATCCCTGACTGACTTTCCCTTGGCGTACGAAAAAGTGATCAACAAACCATTTAACGCATTCGAATACGGACTGTGCACCTTTGAAGATTTACTACAAGAAATTTCTGAGAATACGGTAGTTGTCAGTCAGAATGAAAACGGGGAGTTCGTTATAGCAGTGCCCAAGAGAGAACAAACTGCCGAGGAGATCATGAGAACCAAACAGTTCGCTGCAGAGGTAAATTGGTGTATTTTATATATCCAGCCTTTATTTATCACGTCCACTGCTGGACATAGGCCTCCCTTAAACTCCTCCATTCTTTGCGATTTTGTGCTCTTTGTTGCCAATATATACTAAAAGAAATTTTACAGAAATTTATCCAGCTGTACTGAACAATTTCTATGACTATATATGAATTTTATGTTATCAACGAAGATGATTAAGCGTTGTTGATATCGTTTTATCTCCTCAGGTGATCGATTTGCTTCGCCATTCTCCTTATTATACGATGTTCTTCAACAAATTCGTCCCAGCATACCACCACCACTTCGGACATCAATGTAAAGTATCAAACTATGGTTTTACCAAATTGATAGAACTCTTCGAAGCCATACCAGATATAGTGAAGGCAAGTATCAAAATATTCTTTAACGATAAAACACTGAAAACTTGTGTTTTCAAAACTTCCACAAAATGTCTTATCACTACAGATGTTTCGGCAGAGTTCCTTTCTTCAAGTGATCTATTCTTGGTACATATATGTTTACACTTTATAGTCTTGAAGAGGGTAGGTTGAGGAGGAAAGAACTTTTTGTCTCAAGTTGGTCATTCAGAATTATGTTTGTATATTTTAATTTGTTGACTTTTATAGATTATAAGGCCTTTATTTTGAATGTGAGGAATTTGAAATTCGTCATTAAAAAAATGATTCTGGTCTAGAAGGTGAAGTGTGTATGTAGCATATGTTTTTCTATTATTGAAAGCCCTTCTATGTTCTGCTATACGTTTGTTAAAACTTGTACCAGTTTGACCGATGTAAGTTTTTGAACAGTCGGCACATTTAAGTTTGTATACACCACTGCCTGAGTGCTTTTTGTTTTTGCTCTTGTTGTTTTTAATATATTTGCCCAAGTTGTTGTTTGTTCTAAAAGCTGGTGTTAGTCCTTACTTCTTTATGTGTTCGGCTATTGTTGTTGACATCTTGCCTGTATATGTAATCAAGCAGAAGGTATTAGGTTTTTCTCTGGTGGTGGAAATACTAATTTCGGGGCTTTCTTGATTTCCACCAAAACTCATCTCTATTTCAAATTAAAAATACAGATATAATTCAGAATGACCAACTTGAGATAAATAGTTTTCCCCTCGTGTGGAAACGAGTGTAAACAAATACCAAAAACAGATCACTTGAGAAAGGCACTCTGTTGAAACAGCTGTAGTGATACGAATTTATAATAATTTTTTTGGAAGTTTTCAGTATTTTATTGTTACATAAAATGGATCTCTATCAAGTAACGGTCGAATCAATCACATATTTATATATAATCAAACCTACTATTCTACCATATTGTTTCGTTTAGATCGAAGAATTACCCGACGGAGAAAGAACTGTCAGTTTAACATTACCTCAGGCTCTGAAAGTATTAGGATTTCAAATTGTACAATTAATCAAATCGTTACCACAGACGTCCCTTCTTCTAAACGATCTGCCTAAAGTATACCTAGCGGAATATGGTTACCCTTTAAAGCCACAGTTGTATGAATGTATATCAGTCTCGGAGGTGTTAACGAAAATTTCAGATTATGTTCAGGTAAGTTCGTTTAGTATTTTGTGTTTTTGGACTATTTCTTACAGGATGAGAACTTTTGACATAGAAATATCAAATGAATGTTATTTACTTTCAGGTCAACAACAGCAATGCTGGTTTATTGCTTGTTGCGATTGAAGTAGACACGATTCCCAGTGTTCTGACGGTCAGATCTTGGGCATTACTGCTGAAGTCTCCACATTGTCTAGATCTTAGTACCTTCCGGTATGAGTATCAGTCGAGGTACAACAGCAGCTTCTCAATGGATGGACTACAACAGATCGGGAACGTAATTTCGGTAAGGGAATCATTTTTATTTGCGGAGTTTGTTATTCAGTAAATATCTTCTCCACTACGTTTACTAACTTCCTCATTCCCGTTCTCCTCAAGGCATGCTCCTCCTCCAAATCTCTCGATTGCATCGCTTTTGTAATTCCTTCATTCCATGAGCGCCAAGGTCTACCTTTTTTTCTTCTTCCAGGGGGCTTCCATCTGCGAAGTTTTTGTGGCCACCGTTCGTCAGGCATTCTCAGTAGGTGTCCAAACCATTTTAAACCTCTTTTTTCTATTCTATCGATGACCGTTTCTGTAGCATTCATGTTATTTCTTATAGATTCGTTATTCTTCCTTTACAGCCTTGATGTTCTAGCACTTCTTAAATAATCTATTTGTCCATACTTCAGAGCCATAACAAAGAACTGATTCAATCATGGTTTGCCTTCTGATTCTTTTTTTGTTTCTTTTGGAAATGTTGCGATCCCACCATAAGGAGTTCGGATATCCTACAATTTTACGTCCCTGATTAATTCGGTGTTTAATTTCGGTTTCTCCCAAGCCCTTTTTATCAATGATTGCACCGAAATAATTAAATTTTTCCACTTGTTTGATTTCCACGTCCTCGTCTATCAACACTTTAAACCTTGCATCTCAATTGATAACTAAATATTCTGTTTCCTTCATGCTGATTTGTAACCCCTATTTTACATATTCTCTGTATAGATGCTTTATCATAAATTCTAGATCATCAGAATCAAAGTTCAGGGAGAATAGTACGACATTTCTTATGGGGATTCCCATTCCTTGGCAGTGGTTTTTCCAATTTGGAGGCCTGCTCAAGATATAAATTAAACAGGAATAGTGACATACTGCATCCTTGTCTTAGTCCTTTAGTTACTTTTATTGGCTCTGATAGTCTATTTACAATTTTTAGGTATATAGTGTTATCCCTATAGGCAGACTGTATGGAAAGATCACAAAGGAAAAATTAGAAATATATATATACAAGATAAAATCGGAGAAGACCAGGCAGGTTTTACAGCGGGGAAAGCATGCTTAGATCACATTTACACGGTCGAACAACTAATAGAAAAAAGAATGGCCAAAAATAGATCCGTTCATCTGGCTTTTATTGATCTTAAGAAGGCTTATGACTCAATACCTAGAACCAAGCTATGGGAAGCAATGGAAGACATTGAAGTTCCACGAAGATTAATAAACGCGGTAAAAGCACTCTACAAGAATAACGAAGTAGCTATCAAAACGGGTAATAGAATATGCAGTCCATTTAAAACGACAAAGGGACTACTACAGGGTTGCTCCACATCCCCCACCCTGTTCAAAATATTCCTGGAAAAAAACCTGAAACCATGGAAAAGAAAGTGCGAAGGAATGGGTATACCAGTAAAGAACGAATATCTATATACGCTAAGTTTTGCTGACGACCAAATAGTGATCGCACAAGACGAGGATGATCTGATGAGAAAACTGGAGCAGGAATATACAAAGAATGGGATGGAAATAAACCTAAAGAAAACTGAATACCTAACAACGGAGAATACAGAAATAAAACAGCTGAAAATAGACGAAGGTAAACAAATCAAAGGAACAGACAAGTATAAGTATTTAGGTTTCATAATATCAAATAAAGAAATAACGGAGGGCGATATAAAAAATAGACTAGGACAAACAAGAGACTGCATACGAAAATTGAACCCGGTACTATGGGATAAGGACATTAGCATGAAAACAAAGAAAAAAATATATAATACCATGACAAGAAGTATCCTCACTTATGGGTGTTAAAATTGGACAATAAATAAGAAAACCAAAAACAAAATAAGAGCAACAGAGATGGAATTCCTAAGGAGAAGTTGCAGAGTAACAAAAAGAGATAGAATAAATAACATGGTGATTAAGAGGAGAATGGGAATGAACTCCGACATAATAGACTACATCGAACAGAAGAGGTTAACCTGGTACGGACATGTCAGAAGAGCAGACCAAAATCGGTGGATAAACAGAATAACAGAGTGGAGCCCGACAGGAAGAAGAAAGAAGGGCAGACCCCGAAGATCTTTCAGAGATGAAGTGGACGAAGCAATGAGAACAAGAAACCTACAGGAAGGGGACTGGTAAAACAGAAAAAATTGGAGAAAACGGTTGAGTGAAGGAATACAGTGAAAACTGTGGAAATCCTTGTATATGTATGTGTTATCCCTGTATACTTCTGTGATTATTTCTAAAAGGTATGGACTAATGTCGAATTGTTGTAAAGCTTGCCACAATTTAAGTCTTGGAACTGTATCATACGCCTTTTCTAGGTCGATGAAGGTACTTCGGTACCAACCGCTTTTCTTTTTTTTTATTAATTGTTAGAGTATAAATCTTGTATTTTTTCATTTATTATCTTTCCAAACAATCTCCTGAACGTAGATAGGACACTCAATCCTCTGTAGCAGTTAGGACCTTTTCGATTGTCTTTTTTAACGATGGAATATACCTTTTATAAAAGAAATTTTTTACATATTTTTTTTAATTCCTCTTTTCAATACCTATTTTTATTGTATATCTATTCTAGCTATCATTAAACAATGATGCAAACTACATATCCTTGACGAACTTGTACGTCCTGGCAGCTCAATTGTATCACGTCCTCTACAAGAACGGCGGCAGCGCCCTATATTGCAACATAGAAAAGTTATATCAAGATTTCTACGGGAAAGCTCTGAAGCTGAGTTCGTACCAAATTTATTCAATAGACGATTTCTACAATCACTACAACCTCATGTTTTTCATCAGAAGCAGCAAAAAGAAGACTGTGGTGGTACTCAATAGAAATCTAGCTGGTAAGTTGAACATTTGATTTTATTGATGGAAATTATAGAGCAGGTATCTGAAATTTTTTAATTTTTTGGCCTTCTCGTTCTTCAGATTTGAAGCCTCTCGATTTTTTCTTGTGGGGTTATCTACAGTAAAATTTAAGTTGATTAATTTCAAAGAGTTATTAAAGAATATGTTCAGAGTATTACTGCGGCTATGGTTAAAAGGGTATCGAAAAGCTTTCGTGATACAACAATTAGCTGTATTGAAAGAGAAGGCGGAATTGTTGAGTAGTTGGTGAATTGAGGGGGCTAATAATGTTCGTTAAATGATTACAACAAAATGAATTAATATGGTATTACTAGTAAATGTATCTCTAAAATGTTACAAGGCAGACATTAACTAATTGAAAGGTTATTAATTCTTCAATATTCATTAGATTTTTAATGAATTTTGTTTTGTGAAAATGTCCTTATCATTTTTTTAACGAAACGGAGAAGGTATCATATTTGTAATTAATAAAAATGGTGTTCGGTGTCGGTAATTTTTTTAATTAACATTTGCATTTTTTTTTTCAATTAGAAAGATGGAATACTCTTGAGCGAAATTCATAATTTTTGACATACCTCGTATAAGATTGATAAAATTTGATATATGATGGTTGTATCTTAGATTTTAGACCATGCACAACTTTTTACGAAGAATAACTTTTTGGTAAAATTAATAATAAAACAGTTTACCATATGTTGCCAACTTAAGTAGATACGCTGGTGCCGGCGCTGTTTTTATTATGTGGACCAATAATATAAAAGAATAAAATCTAATACTGTAACGATTATTTTGCCTACCACATAGGGTATTGTTATAAGGGTTGAACAGTGGGGACAGAAATTATGGGGCTAGAGATAGGGTAAGCAAAACAAACCGAAACGTTGCGAACGGCTACTCAAGGTTTCTCTGGAGAGCTGGATCGTGGATAAATGAATAACAAGATGGGATTGGATTTGGACAACTACCAAAAATGAAACAAAAAGGGTACTTACATGAGTTTCCTGGAACAAAACACAATACAAGAAGGTTCTCAAGCTATTTAAAATGGACGCCGCTTAGAAGAATCTTCCTGCTGGATGAAAGAAAAGGCTCTTAATTCCTAAAAATTACAAAAGGGGTTAGAATTTTTTTTAAGAGAAACAAAATGGTTTAGGGAAAAAATTTAATATTTATTGTTATCCCACGAAAAACAGTTACAAATATAAATAATAACAATAAAATACAAAATATCAAAAACAAACTTACTATTTTCTATTCGTTTACAAACTCTAGAAGTTGGAGATACTACAAAACTTACAATTGTTAATGGGCGACAATTTGTAACGAAAAAAATTAGAAATGAAAAATAGCTTATTAATGGAACTATGCATAGTGGTTAACCTTTTTTTAAAAACAAAACAAAAACAAATATCTCAATTTATGATTAGGTAATTACCAAATGTCAAAAATAAAACTAGCTGTCAGATGTCAATATTGAATTTTAAAACCGAGAATAATTAATCTTGAATAATTAATAACAAAATCTATCTGCCACGGAAGCCTCCGAATACTCACTATGGAAGGCAACACGAAAAATAATCGACCACAACTTTCTAATACGCCTATCCGGGCCAATAACGGACAATGGGCCAAAAGTAACAAAGAAAAAGCCACAGTTTTTGCGAAATACCTAGAGGAAGTGTTTCAACCACATATTCAAAACAACAACCCCGATGCAGAAGATAATATACAATCGTATGTAGAATCTCCATACCAACTAGAAGCACCATTGGAGAAATTCACTGCCAAACAAGTTTACAACAAAATCCAATCAGATCTGAATCCAAAGAAGTCCCCAGGATTCGACTTAATCACTGCAAGATTTCTAAAAGAACTTCCCAAGAAAGGAGTGCAATATTTAACACAGATGTTTAACGCAATCCTAAGAACTGGTTACTATCTCCTTTTGTGGAAAGTTGCACAGATCATTTGAATACCCAAACCAGGCAAACCTGTAGAAGAAGTTAAGTCCAATAGACCTATCAATCTACTTTTAGTGATGTCAAAGGTTTTTGAAAACCAACTACTACTAGACAGATTACAGCCAATCCTCGTACAACAGCATCTAATACCCAACCACCAGTTTGGATTTAGACAACAGTATGCTCATTGTTGTCTAAATCCAATTGATTGCTATTGAGCAAACTCGCCGAATCTGCAATTCCATAAACAAAGCCTTAGAAGAGAAGAAATACTGTTCCGCAGCGTTTTTAGATATCTCGCAGGCTTTTCATAAAGTCTGGCAAACTGACCTGCTATACAAAATAAGACCAGTCCTTCCTCTCAACTACTTCCTAATCCTCAAGTCCTATATTTTCGACCGGCATTTCCTTGTAAAAATAAAGGATCAGTGCACTAACTTATATCCAATTAAAGCTGGAGTAGCCCAGGGTAGTGTCCTTGGACCTGTTTACACAGCAGATCTTCCTACAAGTCAAAACATCATCACAGCCACATACGCAGACGACACAGCAATCCTTGCGGCTCACTCAAACCCGTATATCGCCTCACAACTGCTCCAGACCAATCTCGACAAAATAAAGATTTGGTTAAAAACATGGCGAATTAAAGTTAATGAAAGCAAGCCAGTACATATAACGTTCACTAATCGAAAAGGTACATGCCAAACCGTCTCATTAAATAACCAAATACTGCAACAAAAGGATGATGTAAAATCCTTAGGTTTGCACCTGAACCGCAGATTAACGTGGAAGCAACACATATTCACGAAAAAAAAACAGTTGAGTCTGAAACTCAGTAAAATGTACTGGCTACTAGAAAAAAGACCACAACTAAATTTGTACAATAAAATATTAGTATACAAGTCAGTGATAAAGCCAATATGGAGCTATGGGATCCAACTGTGGGGATCTTTGTCAAGATCCAATATCGATTTACTGGAGAGATTCCAATCGAAGATCTTCCGCATTATCACAAATGCACCGTGGTACATGCCCAATGAATTCATTAATCGCGATCTTCAGATGAAAACTGTCAAAGAAGAACCCAATGGGCTAGCGATCTACCAACAAGATTTTAAATTTTTAAATTAATTTTTTTTTATTATTATAAACATTCACAAATAATTTTGTTACTTAAATTATGATTTAATAGGATATTGTCACTGGACGGTCTCCTACAAGTCTTTTGTAATCCAATTAAACTATTTACTTATTGTAATCCTTATTACAGATTGTAAATAAATAGGATGTTAAAAAAATAATAATTAATATGACAGCTAGGTCACACCCTAACATTTATAATTTTAATCATTACAATTTCTCGGCTTCTTAAAACTGGAATGCAACTGGACACAATGGCAACATGTGGTTATCCTTCAAAGTTGTTGTAAACTCCGTTTTACAAATACCTCAGATGAGAGACGGCATGGAAAATAAAACAGTGATTACTCGTTCAAACTTGGCACATTCCATTGAGTATAATTCACTTTTTTTAACAAATTTGTAGTCTTTTTAACGCCGACACTCGCCGCGTGTTGTCTTCAACCTCACGTGAAACTGTAACTACACATTGAACTGCTACAATACTACACAGTTTCCCATGATGAAAATTCGGACTACAACGAAACCAACTGCCCTTGACAACGGCTTTACGGAGAGGGATACAATTCTCTTCTCCGCAAATCCTTCTCAGTGATCTAAGTGGATTTTTATTTCAGGCGGAATATTAATCGGAAACGATAAAAGAAAATACCAAAGAAATACGACATTCCTTATCTCTTTTCTTTAAAACGCCGGTCATGTAAAAATAATTTGCAACTTTCTACTTTAACAAAAGTATCAATTAATGTGCAAAGAATATACGAACAGGAATATTTATATCTCGTCTATTTGCCACAGTATTACACATATTTCAGCCTTTTGGCATCATCAGATACAGATTGAAAAAGAGGGCGACTTGAGAAACACATCCATTGGTATATGGGTGGTGGTTGATTAATAAATTTTCAGTCTCTTCTAAACTAGCGTATTTTAAATGAATCAAATAGAAGCCAATCTAAAACTATGATGTTCTCCGTCCCTTTTTCTTAAAGACCAAGGCCCCCCGCAAATTGACCACAGCCCATGCACATCCCACGCGCAGCCCACGTATGGTCCAACCTAGTCCAAGTACACGTTTTTCAATAATAACGCATATTGAACACAGCCCACGCCCATGTCAAATATTTGTATTCTTCGCAGTGTTCGCAGTATTTATTCTTAAATGATACCTAAGCGGTACTTTACAAAGTACATGATCTCATAATAATACAATAATAAATGAATCCAAATCCATTGTGATCCCTATCGCTTGGTTCTGGGAACTTGTCAAGTTAGGAAACTAAAAACCGGAACAACGCATAATTACTATAAGCTTCCGAGTGCACCTCACGTAAAAACTCGGTGGTCTGTTTGTTGTATAATATTTCCTTGTAAAAGGGTTTTATACTCGAGGTTTCGGTTCTCGGATAAGTATTCGATTCCTAGTCACAGACTCATTTAAAGATTTAAATTACAGTCAGTTAAACATATTTTATTTTTTCTTAAATAAACGAATTGCAAAACATTATGAAATTTTAACAAAATATAATATTTTGAAAGATCTACCGATTTTTAAAAAGAATTCTACCGATTTTATTTTTTTACGTTTGGGAACTCTTCGTTCAGTACAGAAAATGACATCATAACTAAGGTTAGGTAGAGACCCACCACCCACGAAACTGTGTTGCTAGCACAACTCTATCCACGCCAACCAAGTCTGGCATTAGCAAGCAAGCAAGCAAGCAATTTGATTAAACCCAGCCTATGAGAAATGTTCACCCAGGTAGTACGATCGGGTGTAACAATTCATTGGAGCAAGGTGTGTTAACTCGAGTAAAAACAGGAGTCACCCCACAGTGCTCCAATGCTCTAGACCATCCCTTTCCCCCCTATAGCAATCTGATTCACTATAGAGGCACAACAATCAGCCAAATGCTCTTCATGTGGAGGTCATAGGTAATAGAACCCCAACATGGTTTCCTAACCGAATGCAAAAACTCAGGACAGCGCAGCTCCGCTATATTCCTGTATCTTAATATGGCTTATCCGCGAACTAAAATTGCTTACTTGGGCCTCAAGTCTCCGCTCTGAGTCCCGGCTCAGTTCGGCGACTTGGTGCTCAAGGGGGTTGGGCCCTACGTGCCCGGGTTTTGTGGTTTTTGTTAGTTTTTTTTTGGTGGCCGAAGCCGGTTTTTGTTAGTATTTTTTGATTTTTTTGGTGGCCGAAGCCGGTTTTTTTTTGTTTTTTGTAATTTTTTTTGGTCTGGCATTAGCCTGGCCGTGGCTTGGGTTTAATATTCGTCGCTCCGTCTAAAACCACGTTTTACAAAATAACCCACGCGTGTGCTGCGCTTGGGATGTGCGTGGGCTGTGCTCAATTTGCGCCGGGCCCAATAGATGGTGCTTGATAATTTCTACTATTTTGATGGTGGGAAAAGGATGTCAAAATATTAGCATATAAATGATTTTTCTTTTGCATGCTTTTTGGTGTATAATACGCCACTTTCCATATTATGAAAATTTTTTGTAGAAAAAATAAGTTTTATCAATTACTTACAACTTGGATGATGGATCTTTGTTACAGAGCATTTCGTATCTTTGCCACCGTCCATGTTCAAGCACAACGACGCGGTGGGTAAGAGAGACAGTCCCAATAATTGGCCCCCACCTCCTCCACTAGAGATGGTACCAACAAACATCAAGCGATCTTGTCCTCCTAAGCCTGATACTCCACCAACACCGGTAAGTAAAATAATTTATTTATGTGATTATTTATCTTATTCACAATTGTAATGTACCAGAGATATTTTTAATCTCTTAGAGATGATTAACGAATATTCCTTTATAACTGTAACAATGCGACAAACTTTCTCAAATAACCTTGTTTTATAAGGTTTTTGAAATATAGATGTTCACAGTGCATTTATTTTTCTTCAAATTATAGGATAGCAATCCTTGGAACGTTTGGGCGATCAATTCTCCGTTCGAGAGTCGCTTAAACCTGTCGATACAAATGCCCATCATTCATAATCCACAGCTGTTGGGCAATCCTGATACTTTGATTTCACCTGCGCGCCATCTATTACCGCCCGTGAAATATCTGTGGAATGGAATCATGCCGTCCATATCTTCTCCGGACCCGTCGGATTTACCGATGCCGGATAAACTGATGCTTAAAGGTAAGTTTAACGAACTTGGCCATTAAATTACGTCACTGTACTTCGTTTCAAATAAAATGGCACCCACAAGTAAAAATACAAAAAGTAAAACAAACTAGAGCGACTTTTGAGTGAAACTCTTTTGTTCGAAGATAATGATAAAATAAAGTTGACATTTTTCTCTAAGTAAACTAAAAAATATCGTATAATAGATCTTTTATTTGTCAGTTAAAAGGTAGATTTGAAGTAAGTTGCCTGTCTACTAGGTTGTAATTGCTTCAAACACGACCATACTCTTTACGGCAAGAGAAAAATACTAAAATTTTATGAACTATATATAACGCTAAGATTAATACTATTACAAGAATTAATATTAAACTCAACAGGCTTCCGGATTGAACCGCGTCGATTATACACCCTCTCTAATGTCTTCTTCAACTACTGTACTTGTTTTCGGAACTTGCCACTATATTTTCTCTTTGTTCGTGTTGTAGATGTCCCTCCTATACTGGCATATACGACATCGTTAGAGAGATATTCAATATTTCGCCTGCATTCAATATATAGTCGGTTCGCTATATTTACGCGGGTTTCGGATTAACAAAATTATGCTAATGACTCATTGATAACCAGTTGCAGTAAACGACTTCCCAGAAAATTAGGTAAAAACTGCATTAATGGTCATATTTTATAATGCATTAAAATAATACTAGGGTAGGTATAAATTTGTTACAATATTGCAGTTGAATTGATTCTTTGCCAGTGTTGACATTGTATGTGTGGTGGAAATATTTAAAAATGCCTAGACGTGTGTTAGATGTAGATAGTCTAATTTGTAGTGTACATATGTATTTTACGGATGAAAAAGAAAATGGCGGTCCTTTAAAATCGGTAATGTCTGTTCAACAACGCGTATATGATGCTCTAGGAATTAGTGAAACCAAACTATGAGGAGTATTACAAAATCGCAATAATGAACGGCCGAAAGAAGATCACCGAAAAACTCGCATATCATTGAAAACGAAAGATATTCCAGATGGAAAAAAAATGAAATTCGTGATACCATTTATCGAATGCGAGCCAACAAGGAACATGTGACCTTAAATACAATTCTCTCGGAATTAAAAGATAGAAAATTTGACGAAATTGGCAGAACAAGTCTATAGCAAGTGATACATAATTTGGGTTTCAAATTTCAAAAGGAGGATAACAGAAAAGCCCTTTGTGAAAGAAGTACTGTTGTGCATAAAAGAATTAACTTTCTAAGAAAATATTCTAAATTAAAAGAAGAAAGGGCAAATTTTATATATTTAGACGAAACATGGATATTTTCTAGGGGTGCAACCAAGAGAATATGGCAAGATGATAACGTAAAGTCTATCAAACATACTGATGGAGAAGGGAAGCGACACATAATTTTACATGCAGGAGGAAAATCGGTTTTTATAGAAGGTGCTGATTTAATATTTTCATCTAAATAAAAATCAAGTGACTATCACGATAATATGAACACAGAAATGTTTGTAAAATGGTTACATGAAAAACTTCTCCCAGGTTTAAGTGAGCCTAGCGTAATTATTTTAGACAATGCACCTTACCATTCTGAAGTATTAAACAAAAGTCCAACGAATTCTTCGACTGTTAATAAAATTAAAGAATGGTTGACAAAGGAACATATACCATTTTTACACAACATATTTTAAAATCAGAATTATTACGCTTGGCAAATATCCACGCAAAACCAAAAACCTTTGTTGTGGATCAGATTATTGAAAGTTACGGTCATCAATTTTACGTCTGCCACCGTATCATTGCCAGTTTAATCCCATCGAATATATATGGGGAATAGCAAAACAATATTATGACAACCATATTGGGCCTAACGGTTATAGTGACGACGCAGTTCGGGAAACTTGGCGAAAGACACTTTCAATTGTAACTCCAGAAGTGTGGTGCAACTGTATATTCAAATGCGAGAAACTAATAGAAGATTGGTGGACTCGTAAAAATAAAATAAACGAAATCATCATAAACAAAGTCCAATCATAATAACAATTAATGGTGATGACAGTGATGATGATGACGATTATGATATTTTTGATGATAATGACTGATTTTCATTTTTGTTGGCAAGTTAAATTTTTTTATTTTTCATTAGAAATTCTCTCCATGGAACAAATATACATAGACCATATTTTCTGTGTGAAGTGTAACATAAAATTATTATTAGGTTTATATTAGCCACATTAGACTCCATTAATGAAGTAATTCTCCTTATTACACTGTCAATTATATAAAAGATTTTCCATTATTATTTAATTAAAAAAAGTTATGGATTATTTTTCATTTCATTTGACCAGTTGATATTTCCCCAAAGATTCGGGTAATTAAAACTGGGTACTTACAATAAAATTTTTAATCCGAAACCCGCGTAAATATAGCGAACCAACTATAGTCACCAAGTAAATCTAATTGTTAAGAATCTTCTTCTATTGAGCCTCCAATCTCATGCACGGAATTATTATTCTCCCAAGGACGCCACATTCTAAAAGTGTCTCCCTACGTAATATCTTTAATTAAAGAATTTTCAATACAACAAACACACGCAACTCAATCTACTACAGGCTAACTTTGAAATATATATTCCTCTTCTTAGAGTGCCCTCCCCCTAGGGAGGTTAGCAATCATAATTGCTATTTTTATTTTTGAACTTTCTGCTCTAAACAGATCAGTCGATCTGCATTGATATCAATCACGTAGATTCTTGAACCATGAGTTCTGCCTTCGGCCAACAGATCTTCCTTGAATCTTTCCCTGTATAATGAGTCTTTAAATTTCATATTTTGGTCACCTCATCCCGTGACCTAGGTATTCCAGTTTTCTGGTTTGTATAGTGGTGATTAGTTATGTTTCTTTACCAACCCTCTCCAGTACTTCTTTGTTTGTAATTCTATCAGTCCATAATATTGTTATTACTCTGCGGTATAACCAGAGTTCGAAAGCCTCGATTCTTTTTAAATTGCATTTTTTTAATGTCCAAGTCTCAGCTCCATATAATAATATTGAAAATATATAAAAGCGAATGGTACGTAGTCTTATCTCCACTAGCCTTTCGTATATTCTCTTATGTGTTACTTTTATCAGTACTTTTAATGTATGACTCATGAGGCTCAGTGTTCGATAATCAGAGCACTCTTTTGCTGCTTGTTTTTTAGGGATGGTTATAAATGCTGACTTCAGCCACTCTTGTGGTATTATTCCCGTATCGTTCACCTTGTTGAATAAATCTGCCAATACTTCCAAGTTTTCCTCTGCCACTAGTTTTAACAGTTCTACTGGTATTTCATCTAATACAGCTGTCTTATTGTCTTTAGAGTTTTTAATAACATATTAAGGATATAATTCTTGTATTTCATGCATTTCACCTCTTTCATCTTGAATAAGTTCTCTTGGAAAAGTTCTCTAAATTAAATCTATTAGTAGTACTCAGTGGCGGCTCGTGACATCTGCTATAGGGTGTGCTGCATGAACCACGGTCAATATAAAATAATAGAAATAGAATAACATACGAAAACAAAAACAATAAAATTAGCTTTAATACTAATTAATAGTAACTAATAACGACATGCTATAAAAATCTGATTAACTTACATTTATTGCATTTTTCTAAATTGGAAATTAATACGCCGGTCCTTTTTTGTCGCAAACTTTTCGATTACTTTATCGTTAAAGTTCGGTATTGAAGCGATGAACTTTTTTTCTATCGAGAGTGTGGAAAGGGCTGTTAATCTGTCTTCGCACATTGAATTTCTTAAAAATGTTTTGATCCGTTTTAAAGTTGAAAAACTACGTTCAGCTTCTGCTGTGGTCATTGGCGTAGTCACCAGAATTTGTATCAACTTTTTGGTTTCTGTTAATGTGTCCTCTAAATTATTAGAAATTATAAATTTTAGTAAAGGCACTGCACCTTTTAATGTTCTACACTCGATATTGGAATACAAAACTGACAGTTCTGTTCGCAAACGGTTTTTATCAAAGAAGTTATAAGCTGTACAAGTTAAATCCAATTCATTTTCAGGAAACTTATTATTATATTTTTCGAAATGTTCTGAAGATAAAAGTGTTGCGGCAACTAGATGATTTGTATATGCAAACCGTTCTTTTGCATTGTTTATAATAACATCACAAACTTCTAGACAGGCAATACGGTGATCCTGTTGGCTGTTATTTGGGCGTTTCCTTTTTTGGACACTAGGCGCCGCATTTAAATTTGAAGCTTGATGTATGATAGGGTCTATTTTATTTCGGACATTGTTAATACTTTGCTCAAAAACATGTATAGCTTTCTGTGCTTCGGTTGGGTCCATGTTCTTTTTTTGAAGATTATTGTACAAAACGTCAACATGTGGCATAATATAATGAAAAACAGTCAGCCAGAAAGTAAAATTTTGATCTTCCAGAATACGTCTAAGTCCTCTTGCTTCCTTGGAAGTAATAGCATTTGACTCTTCTTCTAGTTGCTCCATACACTCAATAATAAAGTCTCTATATTCGTAAACGACATTTACTGTACGAATATTGAAATTCCAGCGTGTAGGGATTGAACGAGGAATATTTTTTCCAACTATTTGATTTAAGACAGCTATTCTTTGAGGTGAATGACTAAAAAATCCAGGTATATCATGTAAATCTCCAAAAAATACGCGTACTTGGGAATTAATAGAACATGCTCTTGACATTATTAGATTCAATTGATGGGCGTAACAGTGCACAAAATGAGCAGTTTCATATTTTCTCTTAATTATTGTTTGCACTCCGCCATGTATCCCACTCATAACAGCTGCTCCGTCATAACTTTGTGCAATGAGCTTATTTTTGTTATTCTTTAATATTGGGTCTAAAACATTCAAAATTGTGTTAGCTAAGGTTTCAGCATCATGTTTTTCTGGAAGCAAAAAAGTCCAAAACCTTTCAACTGGAGCACCGTTTTTTTACATAACGAAAAACAATGACCATTTGAAATTTCATAGAAACATCCGTTGTCTCATCAGCTATCACTGCTAAAAATGGGGCTTCATTGATTTCGTTTAAAATCTCCTCAGCGTATACTTCTAGCATGCAATCCAAAATATCATTTTGTATTGTTTTTGAGGTACCTTTGAAAATTGTCGCATTTGTAAGGTGTTCACTAAGTGTTTTATCAAGTTCAGCAGAAAAATTCACTAAACCACGAAAAATTCCAGGGTTATCTGATGTTTCAGATTCATCGTGTCCTCGTAAGGCGAGCTCAAAAGCCCCACAGAATTTTATACAGTCAATTATTTTTGACAAAACATACCTGTTTTTCGTCACCTCTTCATTGTGTTTTTGTATATTTATCCAATAAGCAGAGTCAAGTTGGGCCTGTATATTAAGTTTCCCAAATAATGCAAATCGCATTTCATTGTTCATATGAGTTTGCGTGTTTTCATGCTTTTTTATTTTTTCACTTAAATGCACTAGATCCCGCACTCCTGTCTCGCGCCACAATTTTTCCTCTTTATCTGCGCCGAATAATGCACACGGAAAACAGAAAAAAGCATTTTTTTCGGAACATCCACAAATCCACTGATTTCGTAGATACATGTCTTTATTAAATTTACGCGTATATGTTTTTCCACGGCTTTTACCGGACACTTCAATATTAAGATCAGGCATAGGACGGCCACGTTCTTTTATAATCAACTGTTGTTGATAGTGAAGTTTTTGAAATTTATTTACACCTAATTTAAATTGAAACTCCATTGTTTTAAACACGCTCGAACAAAACAAATTAAACAAAATTGTAACCTAAGAATTTCTAAACACGGCACAGATGCAACGGTCACGAATAACTGTCGTGAATTGCAGCTCGCAAACACATTTCCGAGGCCGTTAATCAGCCGATTGCCGAAGCACATCGGCTAAGATCGCCGTTTGCCTAATAAATGCATTTTACCGCTGCCAGTGTTTCGGTTGTTATCGACGCGGCTTCACTGGAGCAGCAAATACGTAAAAAGATTGCTTCACTGGAGCACCAAATACGTAAAAAAATTATACGGTTTCACTAGAGGAGTAAATACGTAAAAAAAATAATATTAATCATCGTTGTTGGTGAATTATTATTAACAGTTTATGTTTAATATGATAATATGGCAGATTTGAAATAAAACTATATTAATTATTCTTTAATAATTAAGATTTGCTATGGTTGTTTGGTAGTTCTGCAGCTCAGCAGCACATAAAGAAAAGCCGCCACTGGTAGTACTCCTTTTATGTCTTTTATGTGTCCTTGCTGTCTATATCGACCCATTTCAGTCACTTCTCTTATTTTTTTGTGCATATTTCTCACAATATCATATTTTGTTCCTAGTTCTTCTATCTCTTTACATTGTTTCATTAAATAGATTTCCTTAGCTGTTTTGATTTTTTCCCTAATTATTTGTTGTATTTCTTTATACTTCTGTAGATCTTTTCCTTTATATTTCCTTGTTTCTTTTATCTGTAATAGTATTTCTTCTGTCATCCAGTGTGTTATAACCATTGACCTATGTTGTATCAAACTTTCTCGAGCTGGTTTCAGTAATGTGTTTTTTATATTATACCACTTTTTATTTACATCCATAATTTGTTTGTTGTCAGTTAGTGTCTTTTGCATATTAACATTCACATTATTTTTTAATTCGTTTTTTATTTCTTCGGTTTTTAGCATTCTTACACATCGTACATCGTACACATTGTACATCGCTAATTCCAAGTATATCTATATTTAGCTTCTCTTTCTCTTTAATAACATTATGTAGTTTTTCAGGCTGATACATACTTCTTACATTCCAGGTAACTATTTTTATCTGAGAGGGTTGAATATTTTTTTTTTGCTTTTTTTGTGCAAGGGTTTCCCATGTTGACGACAGAGGAGGCCTTGTGTTCTGATGGTTGTCCTCCCCTGCCGGATTTCGGTCTCCGATTACCATAATCAATAAGGTCTCTTGCACAAATAGTGCTAGCCATTATAATTTATACTAGAAATGTCATCAACGACCTTTAATGAAGAGGTTTCTCGTTGCCTTCTGCATTCTGATGTCGTTGACCACTTTCTTGGTTCTTCAGCCTTCGAGACCAATTTCTCAGTCTCAGGACAACAGAGTGTCCTTTAACTTACTAGCTCATCCGCCCTAAGCCGTTGGCCAGTAAATGGTGGATTGCTTATTCCTGCATATAATTGAAAAACACTATTTCTTGTTCACAACTGGTTGCAGTGTTAGTGATAATATAAAAACGTGATATATCTATGACTTACAAACTTTCCAATTCTTTCTTAGTAAAGCCTCGTTTATACAAACTTAATATGTTAGTAAAAGCTATTGTGAGTGTAAGTCCTAACCTTTATATTTCCATTCATCGCTGTTATCGGTAATATGACTCAGACAATAAAAGCTTGAGTAACGTCTGCATATTTTGACCGAATTCCATTTGTACTATACATGCTTTTCATTTTTTGTTACGTATAGACCTTCTTTACTTAAGAACATGGTGCTAAAAACAATTAAATTATTTAGTATTAGGGAAAATAAATATTTTGACATTAAAAAGAAGAATTTTATGAGAACTTTGGTAACTTTTTAGTTGCAAACCAAGCTTTTAGGCATTTAAACAAACTAAAACGTCAAATAGTAACTGTTGACATATACAGCCGAAAAAAACTCCTCAAAACAAAATATTGTTAGTTGAATTTTTGTACTTTCCAGGTGGAGTTGCAGATGATTCACAAGATTCTGGTGTTAACATAAAACTGGATAATTCTCCTTCAGATACAGAAAACGATGCTGCTACTTCTACAAATTTAGGTAAACATCTTACAGTATTAATTTTTTAAAGTTGTTCAAACAGAAATAGTGGCATAGTACAAAAAACATTTTTTTACATAATCTCTATCGCATTTGTTGGAATGAACGACATTTATTTGGTTGTTAGAGCTATTTATTGTTACATATGTTCTCAATGTATGATTAAAAAGAACGAGAAAAATACATACGCTCCAGAAAAAAAGACAATAGTTTCTGCCTTTACCTACGAATGCATCATCACTTGATGCAAATGAAGAGGTATGTCCCAAAAGGATCAGAACTTCGTTTATCGCTTCGCGACAAAACATTCCAGTGCCCTCTCTTGGGTATGGTAAGGTACCAATGAGAATTGTCTAGATCATAATCATGTGGACGCTCAACAAGACTTTTGAACTCTTTTTAGTCACTAAGACTCTTAGAAAATTTAACAGATCGCTCTTAGTAGATATAATACTTTATTTTTCGTTACCATAATCAGACAGCTGTTAAACTTTCAATTGTATCATCGCATGGCTATGAACGTTCAGTAAGTCTTCAGAAACTCCAATAGATGGCGCCGGCAGTAGAGAAACTGCTTTATTATTCGTTAGCATTATTTATCAGCAGACAGCTGCCAAAATTTCAGTTATATTTATCACATGCTTTCAACTTTATTGTCGTTTGTTTAAAAAGCTATTTTGTTTATTTACAAAAAATTCATATTTTATTTTGAAGGATTTCTGCCAAAAGAGATCAAAAGTGAGTTAATGTACTCTGCAATTGGCATCTGTTTACAATTACCCTGATGATTATAGAAAGGTCCCAAAATTATTTGTAAAATCCCTGATATGCATTTGAGTGATCGACGAATCAAGTTTCGTGAAATAGTTGAGGTAACGGAATTTCACCAGGTAGTTGATAGTTTCACTCAATTGTTCATGAAATGTTTGGTATTTGTCTCAGTAGAGACTAAACAGCAATCGTTTTGTTGACCCTGTCCTTAATATAACGGTTGAGCTAAGAAATTAAGAAACAATATCCTGATTATATAAGAAAATATATGTTTCAATAAAATAAGGCTCGACTTAGGCTTTTCGCATCAGCATTTCTTTGTCGATAGTAGAATATTTCAATTCGGTTTCATTTAAAGTTCTGAATATATAGGCGATGGGTTTATCGTTTTCTATTGGACGCTGTTTTAAAATGGCTCCTACGGCATGTCATAAGGTTGGAGGGTTTGGCAGAATCTGGATATTGGAAAAGTTGTTCATTAATCAATAACAATGATAAATATATCCAACTAGCATTAACTGATCCCATCAAAAGCTAACTAATAAACCACCAAGACTATTATAGATAAATGTCATATCCTACCGACTGCGCCACTTAAGTTTTTTCTCCTGGAGATACTTTTGAAAAGGTATTTTTTAACGTACAACTAACAAAGTTACAGCACTTTTGCTAATTAAATTACGACTGAACAGAAAAACAGAAATTTACAATATTTATATGAAATCAATCTATGACTACCTGTCTTCGAAATTACTAATCGGCTGAGTTATTGCATTTCAATACTGCTGATGGACCAGGTTATTGTATCGTAATTCACATGTTTACACCTGTCCAAAGCCGCTTCTCGCATTTTTCTGTCCAGCCGTTCGTCTTTGATGGCTCTATCTCTCATTATGTGCCGTACATTTTCTTCTCAGGCAACTGAAGGCCTTCTTCTTGTTCTTTGTTGTGGTGTGTAATTTAAAGCTTTCTTTGACCATATATTTTCAGTCATTCGCTTCACGTGACCATACCACACTAGTTGTCTCGTTTCAATTTTGTCTACACTGGAATATACAGTATTTGTCCTCCTTCCAATATCTTCATTCCTGATATGATCTTTTTTAGATACATTACACGCTCTCCTTAGAAAATCCATTTCTATTACTTCTATTCTTTTTCTATTTTTTTTTTCGTGATCTGCCAAACTTCTGTCCCATAAGTCATAATAGGCTCTACCAAGGTTCGATAGATTGTCAATTTCGTTTCTTGTCTAATATCTTTAAACCATAGTAGAGAGTTTAGGATGTTTACCGATTTATTTCCCTGCTGCGTTCTGTATTCAATGTCTCTTTTAGTAGTGCCTTCTTTAGATATTATAGATCCGAGATATTTATATTCATTGCATATTTTTGTGTTTCTTATTTCTAACACTGGATCTTCTTCATCATCTCCTGTTTAAAGATACTCTGCCTTTCACGTATTTACATTGAGGCCCAATTTTTCGTATTCTTTCTTTAGTTTTCTAAACATGTAGTCCATGTCTTCCTCATCATTCGCGATGACTACCTGATCATCTGCGAAAAATAAAGTTGTTAGGCATTTACAACCGCCTATGTCTATTCCCATTCCGGATACTTGTTTCCTCCACTGCTCTAGCGATGATTGAATATACGTATGTTTTAAATAAGGTCGGAGATAGACAACATCTTTGTTTAAGCCCCTTTGTTATTGTAAATTATTCAGATATAAAGTTTCCTTCTTTAACGACACTTCTTGCATTTTTGTATATATTTGCGATAGCATCCACATACTCTCTACTGAGACCTACTTTCGTCAATGTTTGAAAAAGTTTTTTCAAAGGTACCGTATCGTATGCCTTCTCTAAATCTACAAACAATAGGTGGGTAGATAGATTCCTTGCTTTCCGTTTTTCGATTACCTGCTGCAGAACGAATATACCGTCAGTGCATGACCTTCATGCACGAAATCCATTTTGTTCTTCTATGTCTTCGTATTGTGATTCTATTCTTTCTTTTATTATTCGACCGTACAACGTCCCCACTGAGCTGATATCAGTTATTCCCCTATAATTAGAGCATTTGCGTTTATCCTCGTTCTTGAATATTGAGCTGATGTATTCAACATTAGAATCATCAGGGATATTTTGTCTTTTTAAGCATTTGTTAAGTAGTTGAACCAACATCTCATGTAATATTTTTGGTCCATACTTTACCAACTCAATTGGGATGTCTCCAGGTCCTGCTGCTTTACCGTTTTTCGATCTTTTGAGGGCATCGCTTAACTCTCCGGTTGTTATTTTAATTATTTGTGTATTTTCGGATATGTCTTTCTTTTCGATCTCTTTTAATTTACATCTATCCTTTTATCAGTAAGACCTCATAATGGTGTTTCCACTGTTTCAGATCTATTAACCGTATGTTACATTTTTCCTTTCCTTCCCTCCGGAGAGACTTTATCATCTTCCACGCTTGCCCACCTTTTGTTCCACCCATATACCTATCCACCTCTGCACATCTTCGATCCCACCTCTCATTTTTACTTTTCACTACTTCTGTTTTTACATCTCGATTTAATTTGTTATATATCTTGTAATCTTCCTCCTTTCTGGTTGACATCCATTTCTGATAAGCAGTTTTCTTCTTGTTTACTAACGTTTGCATATTCTCTGACCACCATTCTTGATTTTTTGTTTCATGTTTGTCTTTATACTCCAAAGCTTCACTTGCAGCCTAATGAATGCATTTTTTAAGTTGCTGGTATAATTCTTCCGCTGATATTTTCTCGATTCAAATTTTGTAATTTTGTGGCCAGTCGTAATTTATAAAGAAATTTCGTTGAATCTTCTTTTATACTCTGTAGGTTATATTTAGGGGATGTTACTTCTTATCCCCTTTCTACATTCTGAACCTGAGTGTTATTGTTTTTGCAATGGTTTTGCAACTATCACGTTGGCCATAAGTAAACGATGATCGGATCCACATTCTGATCCACGGTATACCCTTACATCAGTTGTTTTCAGCTGGGAAGTTTGACGTTGGATTACATAGTCGATTTCACAGTTTTCTTTAATTTCAGAGAGTATTTCATTCATCTTGTTATTATTAAATTTCCAAATTAAAAGTATGAAATTTGAATGATTAATACATTCATCATATACACTTCAAAAATGGTTCGGAGGACAATAATTTACGTCAAATAAGGAGGTAATCACTTATACTAATGCCTATTTTGTCTATCTTCCGAATTATTACGTTTTCGATGGTTTAAAGAATCGAACAAAAATCCGAATGCCACCTCTCTCATGAACTTCAAAACAGATCCACCCTGGTCTAAGTTATGAACAAAAATAGAATACTTTTTAAACAAAATTCATTAAAAACTAACAAACTTTTGCTTTCTGTTATAGGTGAAAATGGAAAACCATCCTTTGCAACTTTCCTAAACTTTAGTAGTTAAGTTATCAAGAACGAAATAACATATACGCACAAGTTTTAACGAAAAACCTTTTGAAACTGTTGTTCCAAGTGGAAATTGGTAATTTTATCGAAAGTCTAATCCGTTTTCAACGTTACACGTATACTATATTTTTGTTAAAGTATATTCTTGTAGTACAAAGATGACCTAGATCTCGTAAATGTGGTTCTTAAGTATTTTAAATACTTTTTTAGATCATAAAAATACTCATTTTTACAATTTCACAAAATGAGAATAATTTACCATCATTACGAGCAAGAACAACGATTTATATAGATTTATATTTGTTTTAGGTCGTATTTTTTTAAATTGTCATTAGCTACTTAATTTTTTACTAGTTACTAGTTTTAGTTCAAAATTGTGTCCGTACCAAAAGAGGTACAAGAGATTTCTTTTAAAAAATATATTTTTCGGTGTGCCAGTAAATATTGGCCACCCTGTGCATTTAAAACATTCGTTTAAATGTGCATTTTATGGATCCTTCTTCACATTGACTTTTTTGCAGACATCTCTTGTACCTTATATAGTTTTTATGATCCGAAAAATCTTTATTTAAATGCTGAAATGGCATTCAAGTAGGAGGTATTGTAAGTATCAAACTAATTTTTAGCTGAACTGATTGTCTGAGAGAACTTTGTACAGAATGTTCCACGTTATGTGTTTGGATATGTTCAACATTTAAACATTTTTGATTGCATTAGTAAATTGATATATTAGTAATATATAAAGCTTTAATTTACGTACTATTTGGTATATTTGCTTTAAAACGGAAGCAAGTAGTAGATTTGGCGGTACATTCTGTACAACTTACACCATCGCTGTAAATAATTAACTAAATTGATTATTTCAATAATTTTTGTTGTAACACTATACAAAACGTGAAGGAAAAATCTCATGCTCCTCCTCAGTTCCAATCCCTTATAGGAAAGTGCCGACACTATCAACTTTTTATAATTTGTTAACAATTCCCTTCCATTCTTTTCCATCTGGGCTTCATGTAACCCTCGATTAGTCAGTATTTATGTTTGATCCATCCAAAAGCTCTCCCTCTAGATCTTTTTCCTTCAACTATGTCCTGGATTATCAGTTTTTCCTTCCAGGAAAAATCTACATGAATAAATAATGTATACTGACACAAGAATCAAACATTCAAATTAAAAAAATGTACATGGATTTGTAAATTGCTTTTGTATTTAAGCGCCATGCTATTAGAGATTAACCCAAAACAAACCTTGTAACATGCTTAACTTCAGATTGTCATCGACAACGACTTTATATGTCATATCTCTAAGCCTTATTATTGAGAGCAGTTAGTTCAAATTAAATTTGTCGAGTTTATTAAGGTTAGTTGTTCGGTTTTCGTGTCCTGTAGTATAGTGTCACTTCAGATGTCATTTGTCAATCATGTGATTTTCATTGTCAACGACTTTATATAATATGATTGCTTAAAACGTCTACTCCAAGCTTATTTATGCAAATTATGCCTGTTATTTGTTTGTGGTATATGTAGGATGGATGAGCTGATTAAAAGGACAACATTGATATTTTGTCGATAAAAAACTTTAGATAAACGTTTTTATAATAGAAAGATTCATATTGTCTTTTTCATTCTGGTATTAGTTATTGTCTGAAGTTGCGTTCACAAGATGGCTATTTTAGTTTTCAATGATGCCATTCACGTCATTGTCAACGATTTTGTATGTTATTTTTTTTTAATTGCAAGTTTCTTTTTGTAATTATAAATGATTTGTTTATATTTGTTGCATGATTTATTCACATATTGATTATTTTTTGTGTAGTGGTACAATTAAAATTATTGAAATGTTAGCATTCGTTTCTCTGTTGTTTATGGCATTGTGTTTTAAAGACCAATTTGTTTCATCATTCCTATGATTTGTGTCTGTGATTGTGTACTATTTATTATTATTCAGTTAGTAGATAAGTCGATATCTTTCGAACTAAAAACTGCTATCGACTTACCGGTTTTATTTCTGTTGTGTAAATTGCATTTATTGAATTTTTGGTTGTTTTTAGAAAACAGCGCTGATGCAATTTTTATGCAATACTATTTTGTAATGTAATTATTACTTTTTTACAATATATGTGACTTTTTTTCAAGTATAGAATGTAAGAAAATTTGTCTGTACGATTTTAAAATCGGTTCTGCCAAAAAAATGTATTATGATGTGTTATAAATAAATAAATTTGTACTTTTTTATTGTCGGTTTTATATTTAACCCTCCCTCTATTATAGAAGTATAGTACAAACGGAATTTGCTCAGAATGTGCAGACATTATTTTTTGCAGACAAAACTTTTACGTACGTAATTGTTTGTATAGATGATGATTAACCCTTAACTGGTGACCCTATTATTAATTACATAAATGGTGACCATGAGTCTGACAGACTTACGGCTAAAAAAGCTGGTTTTGTCAAGCTGGCACTTAACAATAAAACAGTTTTTAATAATTAAACAGGTTGAGTTTACTGAAAGTACAAGCTGATTATAGTCGCAAATTGCAAATATGGAACAAAAAATTTTGGTATAGCAGAATTGGCATGTTTTTATAATTTAGATGCTGTATTCTTTGAATATAAAAAGATAAGTACTTTTTTTTAAATTATGTTACGAATTCTGCAATTTCTGATTTATATAAAACAATAATTAGTAAATATTGGTTTCTTTGGAGAATAATTGCAGTTAATTATTAGGATTTTTTTAGCAATTACCCTTTGATAGATTAGGGGATAGATTTGGCAATCGTCAAATCAGCAGTTGCCAGATGTTTAGAATTGATCTCGAAAGAGACAAATATTTACCCGTTATTGCTTCATATAAATTAAAAATTGCGGAATTCATAAAATACTATAATCAAAATGTATTTTTTAAAAGCTTTATCTCTTTATATTTGAAGCATACAACATATGCATTATAAAAACATGCCAACACTACCAAACCGAAATATTTTTGACATTTGCGGCTATATTCACCTTGTACTTTTGGTAAACTCAACCATAAAACAATATTGTAATGTCATTTTTATTTAATCCTGATTTATAAACAGTCATAAACATAATTTTAGTATTTAACCATAATCTTGTTATATAAGCATAATGTTGAAAGTTAATAAATAAATGTACCCATTTAAAAGCATTCATAATACATAAAACATAAATTTAGTCCTTAAAACGTGACCTTCAAAGTTGGTAACTTTCAACATTTATGAATTAAGTATTAAACATTATGGAATTGTTGGAATATGCGCATGCGTAATCCAACGAATACCTTCTTACTCTTCTTTGCTTGTTAAGAACTCTGGCAGATATAGTCGCTACAATTGTTAAATAAAGTGGGACTGATGCCATGGCCAAAGCAACTTTTCTATTAATCTTCATATTTATTTAAAATTATTTTACTTTTCTATGAATCTAAAGACCAGAAAAAATTCTTCAAGATCTATAAAAATTTGGTTAGGTTTGTATTTTCTGAAGTAGTTTTTAAATATTATGGTTAGGTATTATGTCTAGTTATAAACCAATCTTAAATCTTGTGAATTATGATTGTGGTTAAAGTTATGTTTATGACTTATGATTATGTACTATGTCCGTTTATAAACCTGGCTTTAGTGAAAAAGAAAAAAATCAAACTGTAGGACTTAACAAAATCAGAAAAAATGGTAACATGTTTTATAACACAAAATTTTTAAAGTCATTCCAAAAAAAATTGAACATATAGAAACCAATACAATATATGTATGTTTAAAAATAGGTACATTTTATATAAAAAATTATTAAAAACAACATAATTGCAATTCGTCAAAGAGTGTGGGAGACAGGTAAATGGCCTGAGGACTGGACACAATCACTATATATTCCCATACATAAAAAGGGAGCGAAAGATTTATGTAGCAACTATCGCACAATTGCGCATTGCAGTAAGATACTCTTACACATAATTCTCGAGAGGATAAAGCCCTTTTTACTACCTAACATTGCGGAGGAACAAGCAGGTTTCGTCCCCGGACGTGGTACTAGAGAACAAATTTTAAACGTACGGCAGATTGTAGAAAAATTCAGAGAATTCAACATCACAACATATTTGTGCTTCATAGATTATAGTAAAGCTTTCGATTTGGTCAACTGGAGTAAAATGTGGCAGATTTTGTCTGAAATTGGAGTCCCCAATCATCTGATACTGCTAATTAAAAGCCTGTACAATAACAATTATGCCAGAGTTAGAATAAATGGGGAACTAACCGATAGTTTCAGGGTCACAAAGGGCGTGAGACAAGGCTGCATACTAAGCCCAATTCTATTTAACATCTATGGTGAATGGATAATGCGGAAAGCTACTGAGGACTGGAACGGTGGCGTCACCATTGGCGGAAAGAAGATTTGCAACTTGAGATATGCAGATGATACTACTATCCTCGCTAGTTCTGAAGCTGAATTGATTCACCTGCTACAATGGATAGAAGACGTAAGCTTAACGATGAGCCTTAAAATAAACAGATATAAAACGAGAATCATGATAATTGACAGAGCTAACAACAATCAAAATCATCTGGTCATGATAAACAATATCGCTGTTGTAGATAAATTTGTGTATATGGGCTCATTAATAACCAACAAAGGAGGTTGTACTGAAGAAATAAAGCGGCGGTCAGTAATCGCAAAAAGCGCTATGGCAAAATTAACAAAAATTTGGAAAATCCATGAAACAACTACCGATACAAAAATGAGACTAGTAAGAAGTCTAGTTTTTACTTATGCATCGGAATGCTGGACCCTTACTGAGAAATACAAAAAGAACATAGATGTATTTGAGATGTACTGCTGGAAACGAATGCTGAGAATACCATGGGTGGCCCGAAGAACAAATGAATCCATACTGGACCAGCTAAACATAAAGAAAAGACTAAGAACACAAATATCAGAACAAATAATAAGCTATTTTGGACATGTGTTTCGAAGAAATAGT